GATTTGTTGATTTTTCAAAAAGTTATGGAAGTTTTAAGAAAAAAAAGTGAAAAAATTTCGAAAATTAGCGATTTTTAAATTTGTAATTTTTTTGGATATTTCCTCATTTGCGGGACACGAGGTAATTTTTTTCAATTTTTAAGGGTAATGTCTTCAACTAGATACGATTTGTGATCTTTTGACGTATTTTTAAAAGAAATCGGTCCAGTGAGACCTGAGAAAAAGTGGCAACAGACATAAAAAAAAAAAAAAAAACATAGTAAAATTAATACCTTCTCCGCTTCGCATCGAAGCTAAAAATCATTTGTACCTTATAAATATTTTTAGTAGGTCATATTAAATATTACAAATAATTATTAATAGGATTTAAAATAATTTAGACACATTAAATAAACAATATATAAAATATTACTTAAAAATACGTTTAAGCCTTATACAAGATTTTAATTACTAATTAATAATTAGACACTTTGTTCCGTGTGGCGATAGATATGAATAAGTGCAAAAGCAACCATTTCGTTTTTATTGTATTTTAAAACCATATATTTACACTTAATGTTATATACTGACCAATATTTTTTACAAGTATTTAAATTTGCAACTAAAAAAGTATTTAATTTTGAGCACTCATTGGTGTTTGATAAAAATTTGATTTTTTATTATAACGGTACCCTACAACAATTTTCGTACTAATAGTATGACATATATTAATAACTTTAACGATTTCTCCTGTAGTTGTTTGTATGTAACAATCGACATAATTTATCTTAAGAGGACGCTACACAGAACATAAAACGTATACAACGCTCCAGAGATAGCGTTGTTTTCCGTATTGGCGAAGACCACGCCCTCCACCATTTCAAAATTATCGCTGCGTGCAATTGTCGTTTGACTTCAGTGCTACATTCTTTCACCGACTTCCGTGTTATAGCTGTCGTCTAGCAACATTAGTTTGCGCTTTATTATTAACGTAATACTCGCGCCTAACTAAAAACTATTGCACTCTCTGTGGTCTTAACTCTAAGGAATTTGTTAAAAATAAACGTATTGATTTATTTGCTAGATTTTAATTTAAATCATACAATATGAACGTTTACTCATGATTAAAAAATACATAATATTTAAATTAGTTAAAATATTTTAAATGTTTATTTTTTATATAAAAAAGATAATTATTACGTAAAACAAATACAATAAGGATAATTATATTAAATATCATGCACACTTCTTTCCACTTTTTTTTTAATTGCTTCTTGTATGTGTTATGGCTCTCTTATGTCCGTTAGTTCTAAACGTTTTCCATACAAAGGACAAACTATTTCTGGCAAAAGACACTCCAAGTAAAATCT